AAAGAAAACAAACATTTCGATCATGGATTACAAAAATTCTAATTATGGGTTAACAAAAAACCAAAAATTACGAATCATGGATTACAAAAAAATAAAACAATTACGATCATGGATTACAAAAAAATCGAATCAAGTATTACAAAAAAATCTAATCATGGATTACAAACAAAAAAAAAAAAAAAAAAAAAAAAAAAATTAACCGTATGGACTCGCCGATTCACTGTTCGGACTCGCCGATTCCGTACAGTGAATCGGCGATTCACTGTACAAAATCGCCCGGTTCTCTCTAGAACCGGACGATTTTCGATTTTTTAGGCGATCCAGTCCCCTTTTCACGATTTCCGAGTCGAACCGGGTGAGTCTGGTTCGACTCAACGTTTTTTAAAACACTGATTAGTACAATGAGGGTTCAATCACTCTTATTTGTTAGTTTTCAAATTGGATGGTTTCCAAAACATATTTTTTGAACTGCGTGACATACGCCAAACCATCCAATTGGACATCTAATGGCTTTTAGTATTTGTGATCTCCTTCTAATCAAGATAAATGCTCTCATAGTCTACAATCCCTTTAAAAATTATGGTTAAACAAATAGTTCTAACATAATTTTTGAAGTGCATCTTTAATTATACATTTTAATGTTGAAACCTCTTATATATGGGTGTGGTTTCCTTAAACAATCCAACTAAGGAGCACCTTCAAAGTTTATCAAAATAAATGATTTTGAAGTAAAATAGCCTTAGGATTATCCCAAAATCTATTTTTATGTCTAATTATAAAATTTTAAATTTTAAAAATGGTTAAAATCAAGTAGATCTATAAACATATGGAAATTTTGAAAATGGACGGCATAGATAATATGTTATAAGATGTACTATTTCTGAGATCCAAAATCTTTTTATTTTTTATAGCCATACATCTCCATGGCGACATGATCAGTCATAGGGTTTTTCAACATTAAAACAACCTTTTTCGATAGATTTTTGAGGTACATCCATAGTTCTACATTTTAAGGTT